CAGATCTGAGATGGAAAGAAAAAAGTACACTTCCCTTTCAACATAGGTAGGTTTAAGGAGCAGTAAAAAGACCCACCCTATCTCCAGCCTCCACAGCACCGAGGTAACGCAACACCGGCCAGAGGCCGAGTTCACGGGAGTTGGGAAGCGCGCTGCGACGAGCGCGCAGATGGACATATGGAGTGGTACCAGAAGCACTGGCCACTGGATTTGTGGACTGGGAGTTGACAAGAGGAACTGAGAAGGCCTCCTCATGGTCCAGAAAGACAGCGTGTTCGCGACACAAACCACGGAGACGAGCTGTCAGTAGATCCGCTTGACTGACTGCGACTACACCCTTGAGAAAAAATTAAATTAGTAGATTAAGTAATAACCACGGCTGTAAACACGTCTAGCACTCTTTCTCAAGCGGCTACCCATTTCATACCAACTGAACATGCGCTCGGAAAACTTTAAAAGCAACCGTTTGGTTCTCAGAAGGTGATGATATCCTAATAAAAAACTACTTCCTCAATACACCACATGCAAGGCAAACATGTCATTTTGGGGATAAAATACTGGGAAACGCAGAAATGTGGATAATATAGCGGCTCATTTGGGATCAGCCAAAGGTATTCTCCACCCAATGGATGTTAACGAACAGAACATTCCTTCGAGTCACAAATAATCCGAGACGGACGAAACTTTTTGGAACGTCGAATTACAGAATAGATTACTGATAGTCTTCAAAGCTTATTTCCATCTACCAATCCACGGCAAGCGGAATTCACTTGGTTTACGCCTGTAGCGATTCTTTTAATCGACGTTTATGGGCATGAACCGTTTCACCGGTGATGCGTAGCACAAATGCACGAAATTCTCCATGCGTAGAGCTTAAATGAACTTTCTCACATCTAAGGCTAATTCTTACGTTTCTATAATCAGCAACCCGCCTGATAATACTCCGTCCTTGAAAGCAACATCGCCAAATCGTATAAAATACTACCACATTAAACACCTACTTCGAGGACTAAACAAGAGCACAGTTGAGATCCATCTGCGGATTTGAAGCCGAGCTAAACCATTAACCATTAGGCGGCGACAAGATTACCGTTTCAAAGCACGAATAAGTTCAGACAAGCTCGGTCAATCAGTAATTCGTTGTGTTTTATTATTTGTTTCTAAAGGATATAAGATTTAAAGGTAAATATTTCAACTGATTGATGCAATTATTCCTATCCACACGCCATTAGAACCCTATAATTTCACTCATTTGCCTAGTTGTAAATGTAAATTTGGCTTTTACCACTATTCTCACAAATAAACATCAGAATAACGCATTTCCAAATTAATTTATACACAAAC